TGTCCATGTAACGTAGAAGTTAAGGATGATTTTAGTAGCTCAGCCTAAAGCTCATTGCCTAACTAAATGCAGCAAACCTGCCTCTGTCCACTTTCTTTATTTTGATCCCTTGCCTACTTACAAGGTAATTCTCCAGTCTTTGTGCAGAAAATATGAACATAAGATGATAGACAGAAGTTATCCATCTTTATAATCATTGTATTTGGTGCCAGCCCAGCCTACCCCTCTTCTTTCCCCCTGGTCCCCATAACCCAGAAGGTTATGCACTTCCTGGCACTTGTTTCCATCACATTTTCTTCACTTTGGGGTAAGTGAAAGCCAGGGCTACTGCAGCATTCTACTGGTGTAATTTAACGTGTCTTTTTAACTGCTGAAATCCTATTAAGATTGTTTTTCTTAGAGCTGTTTGCAAATTTCCATGAGTTTAGAGTCGTTTACCTAATTCTGTTTTTATCTTAAACCATCTTCTTTGGAGTGGGACCTTTTGCCTAAATGCAGCTTTCTGGCAATGCATATATTGTTTTGTGGGAAGAGAGCCAGATTTAAATAAGTGGCTGAAAGGATCAGCAACACAAACAAAGTTGGAGTCATGTCATCCTTGGGTCAAATAAATTCAAAGGAAGAAAACCCTATATCAGATCATGGTTTAGAATGCTATTCATATAATCAAATTTCTTTGTGCTCTCTTTTATCAGGCTGTTTTAAAGAAGTCTTTAGGCTTTACAAACTTATTTATCAAATGTTAAAAATTTTTAAATTAGCGTACATTGTAATAAAGAAAAGTTTTATGTAGCTTAGATTTTTTTTAAATGTTACATGATACTGAAGTTACAGAGAGATTTTAAAACTACTTCCATAGGCCGGGGAGCCTGCTCCCTGTAGTTAAAGGGCCCTGAGTTCAATCTACACTACCACATGTACAAAGAAAAAGAACTGTTACTATAGAGTAAGTTGACAATGTTTTCTTTAAAAAGATATGACAATCCAATTTAACTACTTTAACTTCTTTTGTACCTTAAATATTTTGATATCCCCTCAATATGCAAAACATGTAACACTTGAATCAGTCATTTCCTGTTTTTAATCTACAGTGAAATTTGAAAATTTTTCATAATTTCTTACCCTGCCCCATACAAGATCAGCACATCCAGGCCTTTCTACTTTACTAAGTAAGTTTTGCACCAGTCTCCTTCCACCTGTCAGGACCTGTATGAGTACACACACATGTGCACACACAGACACACATGTTTGTACACATGTACACACACCAACACTCAGTCACATGCTACACTCCAACAGTATTAAACCATATGTATTTTCTGTGCACACAGCCTATTGCCTTAAGTGACGCTCTTTCTACTTGGGAGCCCAGTTCTACCATTTCCCTTTACCACCTTGGTGATTCTTACTCATTTTAAAATCCCCCATTCAAGGCTTCCCTTAGTGGAAATGTTCTGTCACTCTCCAGGAATTGTTACTCTTCTTTTGTCTATGTTCTAAATTCCAGCACAGCCCAGAGAGAAAGCTCGGTAGCAGCAGATGGTGGATAACAGCATCCATTGCCATCTGGTACAGTTGTTGGTGTCCATCTACACTTTATTTTTGATAGACTGTAAACTCATAGAATAAGAAGGTGTAAGAATAAGATTTTGTGTTTCCTGGTATGTGTCACAGTGCCCAACATGTAGGACATAATAAATATGTGAAAACTAAATAGCTTGACCACCTTATCCAGTGAAGCCAACCAGTACTCCTATTTTGATTTCTTTGTAGCATTTCTCACTATTTGGTCTTTTCTTGATTATTTGTTCTTGATTTTCTAGTTTTTGGTTTCTGTCACCAGGCTGTAAGTTCATGTTATTTTTCTTATTACTTTAGCTCCAGTGTCCAGAAGAAAGTAAGTTTTCAGTGCCAGAAAACAAAAAAAAAATCTGAATTAAAACTCCCAACTATGCAAAATGAATGACTGGATGCAGGTTCACTCTCCTGTACTAATAGCAAGACTAGTATATAGGTACAGTGCCTCCATGGAGACATTAAAATACTCTGGCTTCAGTTAATCTTATCATTTTAGCAGTATTTGAAAGACCTGAAAAGACTACTAAAAGTAACATGGAGCCGGGTGTGGTGGTACATGCCTGTAATCCCAGCACTCAGGA